TAAAAAAATCATTTTAAATTTCATTTCTTACCTATCTTTACATGATTTCCTCCTTTTTTAACATCTGAAATCCAACCTTAGGAAATAACACAAAACATAACATTTATTTATCACTTACTTTCTGGTTAAAAGCTAGCTCTTTTCATATTAATTTCAACCAACCCTTTTTTAATACATAGCTGGAAGAGCCTGTGGACAATATAAAGCAAATCCTGTGTTCTGAATAAGGTCCATCTTGCCTGCTCATGATTGCCCGCTTTGATCCCAAACCAATGGACAATGTTGGCAATGAAGTCACCAAAGGCAGCAGAAGACAGTCAAAATAAAGAAAACAAATTAAAATGATTCTAGTGGGTTTATTGTGCTACAAAGTAACACAGTTGGCTTTCTTTCCCTGCTCTTGAAATTGATTCTTGTTAAAGCAAAATCTTTTTGTTATATATTAAATCCTTTATTGACAAAATGTGTTAGGTCAGGGTCACTCCCTACTCCGTTGGGAGGTTTTGCTGGTGACTTTTAGCTTGAATCGCCATGTGCTCGGGTGAGCAAATGTTTTTCAGTTTTTTTTTTCTTATTGAAGAGAGTTTAAAAAAGAGTCATTGTGTCTTTCTTTTGCTAAAGCGAATGGTTCGGTAAGTTAATATTTGTTTTTTTTTTGTTGTTCAGGCAGGTATTTGGAGTTTAATGCCTTCCTTTTGTTTGTAATTTCAAAAAACCTTTCACTTTTACTTTCACTTTCACTTATTCATTGACTGAGGCAGTGCAGCCAATGTACGAGTTTTCGACATTCGTCAAGTTAAATCAGTTGTGAATAAACATAAGTACTACGATACTGACAGTCACAATGGCTGGATATTAGTCGAGTTCTTTTTCTAGTGTTTTTATGGACCTCAACTTAGTCTTGGTCTATAAAAGTGCAAAAAAGAGAACTTGGCTAAGACTCAGCCATCTTGACCTCAAGCTTGGTCAACAATGCCTATGTAATCAATTCACATACTACCACCCAGTTGTTTCCCTGGTGAAGATCTTTGACAGCATGTTGAGGATCCTCAAAAGATATTCATGGGGTTTTTAAAGGATCCTTTTAAAAATTTTGGCTAAGATCTTTGAAAATTCCTTGGAAATTCTTGCTTCAAAGATTTTCACCACCTGGAGGGGAGTGCACCATATATAGGTTTCTTGTTTGTTTGTTTATTTCTTTATTTATTTCCTGTTGTTCTGCCATTTCTCAGTACCTTGATCAATGTCATGGCCTCCTTCAACAACAAAGGTGCCAGTTTTCCTGTTGGACAAAAAAAAAAAAAGTTTAGTATGAGTTTCAATTTGATCATAACTTTTATAGCACATGTTATTCACTGGTATCTCAACTGTGAAAACAAGATCAATGTCTGTAAAACTATATTAAATCATTCAAAGATATAGAGTTGAAAAAGCTTCCACAAACGAATCCTTTAAAATTAAAATAATTTGTTACTCCATGTACAACATATACAAAAAATTAACTTCAATAACTCTTCTCTAAACTCATATTTTATCAAATATTCCATTTTAATGTGAAGATTATGTATCAACCCAGGCCTTTCCAATAAATATAAATTTTAAAGTTATCACAAATCATTTTGTGAGTGCCTTGTAGTTAGTGAAGCAATGGAAATTCATGCACTACCTTCTCTTGACTTGTAGCCAAACTGGTGACACATAAGTAAATTTGGGGCTAAATATTTTTGCTACGTCATACCCATGAGAATTCCACTGTGAAAAAGGTAAAATGAGATAAAATATGATTAAAGAAAAAAAAATGGAAGACCACAACTCCGTGAACAAATTTGAGCATACACAAGCATAAAACTGGTAGAAAGTTTAAGAGCCTGGGATAGTAGGGTGTGGCCTCTGGTGCAAGGTCTGGGCCGGGTTGTTAAAAGGTGAGTTAAGATAACCCAGGGTTAGCGTGAAATTTAATTGCAGATCTGAAAGCTTTAAAATTAAATTCACTTTAATTCCATTCGTTTACAATTTGGTGATTGAATGCTCTAAGGAGAATTGGGAAAATTATCTTAAATCGGCTTTTGAACAGAGAAATATAGAAACCTGGATTAAAATCTAACCCTGGGTTAGCACTAATCGGTCTTAGAACAACTGGGCCCTGGGTAATTAAGGGTACTGGTAGTCAGAAATTTCCAGTCCCGAGTGACTGACCCTTCAATCAGTGGAAGTGACTGGCTTTCTTGTTAATATTGGCAAGGACAACAAAAAAAAAAACCATAGTAAAGAGAACTTGCTTGTCAGTCTAAGAGCATATAGTAATTAACTGGTTAGCTTTAAATCCCATCAAGTAAGACTGTAGGAGTCATTAACAATGAGCTGTGCGAAAGGAGTGCAATCAAAAACAGGGTGTTTTTTCAATGTAAATAGTTTCAAAGCTTTAGATTGAAACTCTTTACAGGGACCAATCTACATGTACAGAATCAGTTGATAAAACCAAAATATCTTGTTAACCCCCCACCAATGTAGCACCACAGTTTCTTTGAATAGAAACTACCATTTTTATTCCTTTATTGTTTCAACAAAATTGTAAGTTAATTTGCACGAGATATCAAGAAGGACGGCACAAAAATTCAAGAAAAACTTTTAATCAAGAACCACAAACAGACTTTCAACTTTCAACCTCATGTCATTCAGAAAACATGAATCACTTCTTCAGTGGACAGAATTGACAAGGTCTACATTAGGTTATGATAATAACATTAATATTGAATGAAATTGTATCCTGGCTGTAAAGAATACTTCTACAGATTAAGTTGTTAAAAATTTTCAATGATAAATTTTGTTTCCACTAACCGGTGTGACGTATACCAGGACATCTCCACTAAAGTTTATTTCTGAGACATTTTTGTAATATGAGCTGTGGAATTTGATGATATCTCTTGTTTTGGGATTTTCCACTACTAATCCTCTAGCTGTGACATTAGTATTTGGACGTCCCTGTAAAATAAATATTAACTTACAGAAAGGTGAATATTTATCAACTGCTTCACTCTTTCACTCACAAGATCATATTTAATTTAACACATCTTCTCACTGTCTGTCATACAATTCTCATGATGTTCCTTCTAAGAATTTGACCAACACTCAAGGTCTTAAAAAAATGAGAAGAATATGCTACCTTCCTATAACATCAAGAAATGCTTAGATATTCTAGTCTTCTTGGATAGGGACGAATAAATCGAGGTCCCGTCTCCTGAAGGGTTAGGGG